GTACAAAATAAAATACTAATATATACATCATCTACTCCTATGTTATAAATATGGATCATTTTCCTTGAACATTTTTAAAATTTGTTATAACTTCAAGTTGATTGCATTATTGTTTGCTTTAATTCCTGTGTAACCCATGTGTGTGACCTAGGACCTACACGAAAACATTTTATACCATGTGTGACCTAGGACCTTGCAACCCATGTGTGTGACCTAGGACCTACAGGAAAACATTTTAAAGAGTTATTATTGAAAGATATTTCAAGAGTTATACTTAAATGATAGTATTTTTAGGATCTTGAATGAAATATATTTTCATTATCATTGAGTCACATATATTATCTTAATATTATATATTGATAATGATAAAAAAAAAGTTTGTCAATATAATAAAGATATGAGATATGATAGAAAAAGAAAAGAAACATATATAAGTTGTAGTATAGTATTTACATTTGTACAAATAAATATTTTATACCAAAAAACTCTCATACTATATACACACTATAAAGTGCTATATATTTCATATATTATATTATATAGTACGTAGTAATTAAGATGAGTGCAGTAGTGTAGCTGTTGCATAAAAAAATCATTATCATATATAATCGTAATTTAAGCCGAGTGGGAGTTGCGGAAGTGCTTTACAGTATGCCAAAGTCATTGTATATAGTTAGGGAAGATTGATACTGTCCACATAAAGCCACTTTGTTTCTTTAAAAAGAGATATTCTTCATTCTTAGATCTCTTCGACCTTGACCCTTACATTAATGCAACCATCCACACAAGACACAGAAAGGTTACCGTGATTTGGAACAGGAGAAAATTTTGATAAACGCCATAATTAGTTATATATTTTGTTATAAAATTCTTACTGCATCAACATTTAGAGCATAAATCCATAAAATTATTAGATGGTAAAGGATTGAAATAGTATGTACTAGGCTTTCGTTGAAATTTTGTTGTTGCTTTTATAATTTTTCCCACCTCAATAAAATTTGTTCAGAGCATTCATAAGTTTACTAAATTAAATCCATAGCTAAGTTTTGGACGACATTCAAATGTCTTGTAACTAAAAACATGTTCAGGTGTCTGTTAATTGACACACATATTATCTCCACTTCTTGCATGGATGCCTATATATAGGGCAAATAAAGCCGTGCATGATTGTGTGAGTTGTGAGAGAGCTAGCTAATTGCTAGGGAATCTTTGATGATATGAAAACCTTATGACAATATGTATAATATAGGGTTTGTGGGGTCTAGCCATGCAATGAGAAAGTGGTGGGGAAAGGGCGCAAAGGAAACAGGTTTCATATATCATATATAGCTAATCAATTAAGTTCAAGGTCAACCATTGTGATAAATATGTTTGCCCACTCCCTTTTGCACTGTTCTATGATTCTATCCAAATAATCAAGCACAAGAGGGAATGAGCACATGTGTCAGCATGTGAAATTGTGGAAATCTAAACCTCAATCATCCTCTCTATCTAATGCATCACTTTTCACGCATATATATATATATATATATATATATATATATATATATGTAAATAG